ATGCACACACTGCAATTATTAGAAGCACCAGAACAGGAGGGTGGTTTGAATTCCTGTGGTCACCAAGTGGTTCATTGCTGAGAGCCATAGCTAAGTAGGTACGACACATGGCAATTTCCTTGTCAGCCTATCCCATGTTGCTTAGAGGAAGGACTTTCCATTGTGGACCCAGGTCATTTGCAGTGACTTTGCATGAAAGTGACCTTGCTCAAGGACCAGGGCAGATCCGGGTTTAGGGTGGATCAGGGTTTAGGGCGGTTCCAGGTTTAAGGTGATTCCTGCTGGGAATAGGGCGTATCCTGCTGCCTCAAGCGCCTTGAGTTCCCGTTGAGTTCTCGCGGGATTCAGAGAGTATTTGGGATTCAGAGCCCAGTGGAGAGTGTGGATTTCCCCCAGAACATGCCTGTAGAGTGCCGGTGTGAGTTCGGGAATAAAGAATTGCTGTTTGAATCTACAAGGCTGTGAGTGGCTCGGGATTTTGTGCCCAGCCAGACTGCGGCAGTTCATTCTCTGAAAATCCCCTGCAGCAGAGCAGGTAGTTAGGGGTAGAGGCAGCACCTGCACCCAGCTCTGCTGCCTCCCAATCCAGAGCCCTCAGCAGGCTGCAATGGAGGAAGGTGCAAAGCTTTCCCCTCCACCCTCCTGCTCCAACCCCTCTGATCTTGGCAGAAGACAGGGAATTCTTATTTGAAACAGTGGCTCCTAATTAAATGATTCAAAAACTGAATGAAGTTCCATATGATGCAAGCTGAGGAGACAGAAGGTGTGCCAGAAAGTGAAGGAACTCTCCCGTCTGGGTTTGACAAAGGTGACCCAAGAGACCTTAGCAAATGTGATGCAAGCAGAGGTTGGGCAGGTGCTTGTGAGGCAGGAATTATCTTCCCTTGCTAGGGAGACCACCACATGAAGAAGCAGAGGCTACCCTCCTAAGGAGCAAGGCCTGTCCAGATGCTGCAGTCTTCTCTGCTGAGACACGGGACATGTGGGTGAGGCCACCCTCGGCCACCCAGCACTTGCTGAGCAGACCCAGAGTAGAAAAGCCACATGACCAGCCCCCCAAAACATGAGAACTAAATCATGGTCATGTCCCTCTGTTAGTCTCTACCTTCCAAGATGCACTCTCCAAGGGCCTTGGCTTGCTCTGCCAGTTCTTCTACCCCAGCCTCACCTCAGCCCTGGAGCCCTCATGAGGAATTCAGGTCCATGGCTAAGAACATAGCATAACTTTTTTTTTTTTTTTTTGGTACTGGGGATTAACCCCAGAAACTTTACCACTGAGCTACATCCTCAGCCCTTTTTTTATTTTTTATTTTGAGACAGGATCTCTTTAAGTTGCTTAGGGCCTAGCTGAGCCTGGCCACAAATTTGCAATCCTCCTGCCTCAGCTGAAAAACCAGCCTCTATCTCAGAGCAAAGCCTGTCCAAGAAAGGGACATGACCTTTGTCCTTGGAAAATCCCACAGAGCACTCCTAGGCACATTCCCACCCTGCTAAGTTGTTTATCTACAAATAACAGGAGAGATCTGCTGCGCCAGGTGTCCCTGACTCAGCCAGGCTAGGTGGGGATCCATAGCAGCCCCCTAGCAGCCACCAATCAGCATGAGACAGGGAAATATCTGGGATGCCAGATAACCCTCCCAGTAGTTTATGGTGGTTGATAACATATTGGGAAACCATGTAGTTCAGCACATACACCCCTCTTGGCTTAAACCAATCAGTTCAAACGAATACCCCTTTTGCACTGACCAATCACCCCTACCCAACTTGTTCCCGCCAGTGAATGTGCTAATCATGTTTTAGAGTTGTTATTTGATTTTCCCGCGGTGTGTGATGATTTGCTAAGGGATGCTATGATGTATGTGAAGTCCCTGCCCTCTCCAAAAAATGTATAAAAATGCTGCAAACCCTGGGCTCGGGGCCTCTCAGCGTCACCAGTTGCTGTGTGTGCGTGCGGAGGACCGAGCTAGCTCGCAATAAACACCTCTTTGCTGCTTGCATCGATCTTGGGTCTCTGGTGGTCTTTGGGGGTCCCGAATTCAAGCATAACACAGCCTCCCAAGTCCTGGGATTACAAGAATGTGCCACTGCACCAGGATACAGGAGAACAACTCTTGATGGTTTAAAAAGCACTATCAAATCTATGACCTCCACCAGCTCCACCATGACTCTGAGAGCTAAGCATAATTCTCTCTGCTTCTCAAAGGAAATAACCAAGGTTCAGAGAGGTTGACAGACATACTAAAGTTACACAGCCAATCAGTGAGTCTTTGGATTCCAAACTCCATGCTCTTTCCTCATTATCTCACGTGGATTAGTTCATATATTGCCTTCCCATGACTCTCCACTGGCAGGAGTCTCCACAGATAATAATTTTTTCTAGATTTCTGAATGTCACCTGCTTTGGATTCCTCACCTTGGCCTTGCCTGCTATTGGGAAACCTGCTGCTAGATCCATGTCAGTCCTCCCAGATGCCAGCCACCTGCCAGGGATTCCACCTGCTGTCTACAGCCAACCCACTGGATTTATGATCTTCCTGCCAGACTTGACTTTCTTTCAGAACCCTCAACTTTCTGGGTCTGTCCCCTGGGTTATAGACGTTAAGGTTCAAATATCCACATATTCAGCAAGTCAAATGCCAGGGGTCCACCCTAGAGAAACTCACACAGGTGCAGAAACAGATGGACAGGAGGTTGTTCACTGCTGCGCTGTCCTTATTAGAGGAAAATCAGTAATGATGTAGCTACTTCTTGGAAGGGGAACCAATAAATAAATTGGGCTCTATTAATAAATTAGAATAACACCTGACAGTGAAAATTAATCTATCTATAATTATGGCAATAATTATACAACTGTATGAATGAGAAATCTCAAAAACAGGCAGTTTATATTGTTATCCCATTTATATAAAGTTTAAATATGCAAATAACAAGGGTATATATTGTTTGTGGCTAAACACAAATGTAGACAAGAATAGCAAACAGTCAGAAATTATATCATCAATCTCTAGCTAGTGTTTACCCTTAGGAAAGGGAAGCAATGGAAACAAAAGAAAAGGAGGTGTTGACAGTATCATACTTTTTATTTCTTAAAAAAAAGAGCAGCCAGGTGTGGTGGCACACACCTGTAATCCCAGTGATCTGCGAGGTTGAGGCAAGAGGATCGAAAGTTTGAGTCCAGCCTTGGCAATTTAGAGACACTCTATTACAAAACAAAAAAAGGAGGGGGGGCTGGGAATATAGCTCAGGATAGAGTGCCTCTGGGTTCAATCCCCAGAAGAAAGAAAGAGAGAGAAAGGGAGAGAGACAAACAGAGAGAGAGAACTCCAAAGCCTCTATGGCTGACATTACCCTCTTGGAGATGGGTGCCTAGAAGGTTGCTATATTCTTTTCAGGGCTCACTGAACACATTCAGTGAGCACCCACTGTGCACCAAGCACCGTTTCAGGCTCTGAGGACACAGCAGTGAACCAAACAAATACCCCTGCCCTTGTGGAGCTTACATTCTCAATGTTTGAAATGTGCGTAATTCTTTGCTTTTATTTTTGAGAAGTGCATATAATTCCTGGGTCACTGAATGAAAAGCAACCTGTCTTTCTCCTGTTTCCTCCAATTAGACCAGTTTTCTGGCTTCTCTTCACCTGCTCTTAACAACCTCCAGGGACCTTCACAGACAATAATATGTCCAGGCTGTGTCCCAGGGACACAGCGTCCCATGCAACAGCTCGCTCCCTCCAGCAGGACGTGGTCTTCTTCCACACCCCACACTGAGGCCAGCCACAGCCAGCCTGTGACAGAAGCCCTACCTCTGCCCACCTAGCTATACTGCCTTCTCCCCTCATCACTGTCTTCACTGACTTCCTGTCACCCGTGCCACCATTCACTGAAGGGGACTGCCTCAGTCTTCCCACACTATGGGAAGAAATCATGGAGAAATCTAGGTAGGGAGCCTGATTTCCTACAACACCTACCTTCGCCTCTAAGCTGACCACAGGCATCCTCTGTACCTCACCTCTGCCTGGGACAGGAAGTATCTCTCCTCCTGCCCATGCCTGCTCCCTCAGCTGAAGGCACGCTGGTCCTCCTCCCTGGGGCACAGCCAGTGCTCTGCCACCCCACCCCACCTACAAACACCAAGTTCCACTGGTTTCCATGGAGCTCTGTCACCTCAACTCCACATGTCTCTCAATATCTCCAACTTGAACTACCACAAGGACCCTAGCTGGTCTCTGCCACTCCAGATGTGACCCTCCAACCGTCCTCCACATGGCTGTCAAAGGGATGCTCCTACACACCCCTATGCCGCCATCACCCCCCTGCTTAAAGCACACAAAGCCTCCTTGATGCTGTGTCCCTGGCATGGTCTCCAGTGCCCTGCACAACCTGCCACCATCTCCACAGCTCACTTCCTTTGTCTCTGCCTGGGGCTCCAGCAGCACACCAGCACTCAGTCCCCCATACACTTCCAACTCCCTCTCACCCCTGTGTTTCTGCTTAAGCTCTTCCCGGGGGGCCCAGGATGCCCACCCCTCCTCTCATTCCACACTTGGCCAAGGGGGCCCTTCTTCCAAGAATCGTCTGCAGCCCTTGCCTCCCAGACTCCGTCCGTTAGGCACCTATTTTCTATACTCCCTCCCACCCAGAATGCTGTGCATCTGTCTCTAGCATGGCCATTAACAAACTGTATTATAATTTTCCCTTCTAATGACTCTCCCATCTGATACACCTACACAAACACCCAAAGGCAGAGAGATGGGCAAGGAGAACTGTGGAGATTACAAGCCACCGGCATGCTCACCTCCCCCTCAAATCAGGCCCCCCACAAGATGACAGTTACCAACATTTATCTACACATTCACTGGCCAGGTGTGGGGGCATCTTCTTTACCTGCAGCCTCAGGGTCATCACTGGGGTGTGATGTTTTCCACACACCCCTTTGGGGCCTCTTGTGCCACATGTCCCATTCCCAGTGCCCTTATGCCCACCTCCCTGGAGCACTGTACCTTGGCCAGGGATCTGACTATGGGACTTTCCATAATGCCTCGAAGGAAGATCAAGTCCAGCTCCGCAGCCCCCGTGGCATTGGGGAGAGATCCTAGGTTGTCCAAGACTTGCTGCATGGCTGTGGGGAGGAGGCAGGCAGTGAGACACTCAGGTACAGACTGGGCACAAAAGATCCCAACATACCATGATACCTCCTCCCACCTCCACTCCTACAGAAGCCAGCCCTTCCCTTCCTGCTGCATTGGCACCCTAAGCCTTGAATGCCTGAAAAAAGAGGAACTAGGGGCAGGAGGCAGTTCTCTTGGCCTATTCTTTCCACCCTAGGTAAGACCATCCTGGCAGGCAGAAGGTTCCAGGCAGCAGAAAGTGGACTCTGAGGTGGGGGAGAGAAAAGGAATAAGGTTCCAGATTCTGCCCTGCAACAGAGAACCACAGGCTCCTCATTCAACCTCTGGATGGGTTGAAACCTCAGGACTCAGTCACCTGCCACGGGCAGGCTCAGGAACAAGAGAGACAGCCTGTCCCTGAGTACAGGCCTAAAATCAAGCAGGCAACCATTCAGGAGGCCAGGCCAATGTGGGGCACCACTAATTCAGTATGGCATTGCACAAATCACTGACCCTCATTGGCCTCAGTCTTTCCCTTTGGGTCTGATAGACAATGATTTGTAATCACAGAGAAATTAACATGGATAAGTCAAAGCAAAGGCCTAGAATATTGTCAGGAGCTGGGGAAACAGGCACCCCAAGACCTGGGATGGCAATATATACCCAAGGGAAGAGGTCAGACCAAGTCATCCTAAGAATGAGCACTCAGCATGGGATGGGCAGGAGAACACCTGAAGCTGGACCACAGCAATGGCCACCAATATCTGAAGTGAGGGCTGCCTTCACCCACTTCTAGAGGTAGTAGCTACAGGCTGTAGCAAGTTCCAGGAGAAGGAAAAAAGACTTGGAGTGTGCCCAGCTGGGAGCAGAGATGGGCACAGGGTATCATTACTCTGCCACCCTGCCACCCACGCCTACATCTGCATAGCAGCACCCAAGCCCTGGAGGAGAGGGGTAGATCCCTCAACACTCTTGTCAGTCCTCTCCTCCTTCAGGAAGTACTGGGGGTGGCAGGAGGGTGCGCTGAACCGAGCAAGATGGCTCAGGGACTCCTGGGCTAGCATCCCCTTCTTGCTCCTCTTTTCCATCTTCTCCAGAAACAACTTGGGAGCCTGCTCTCCAGATCCTGTCCAGGCCTGGGCTTGGCATCCATGAGCGACCAGTAAGGTTCTCCACGGGCTCAGAAGCCAGCGATCCACCAACACTAGTCATGCCAGCTAAGGCTGGGGACTGAGTCAGGGGAGATGGTGTCCCTTGCCTAGGCCAGTTCTCCTGAGGGCCGAGCCCCCAGACCTTTCAGGCTCCCAGGAGCCCGTTCCTAGGGCACCCCCCTTTAGATGCCCCAAAACCCGCGAAGGGGAGGATGAGTTAAGGGGCCAGCTTCTCCCCAGGTCTCCCTGCTCCATCTCTCCCTACCTTCCCTTTGGAGTTCCGCTTCCTCAGAGGAGCTCAGGGATATCCCCTCCAAAGAGGCCCCGCTGCCTGGGCTGCCAGCCATGGCGACCCCGCTCCAGGATCCCAGAGTAGCCTCTCACGCCACTGCCTCCCCAGCAGCCTTCCAGGCCAGACCCGGGCTGCGCTGGTGAAGGCGGGACTCGAGGAGCGCTGAAGAATCAGCCAATAGCAAGGCTTTGCCGCCCCGACCGGCTAGCTCATTGGCCAAAACCCCGGGCGCTGCCGAGTGGGAAGGGGCGGTGACTGGTGGGAGGAGGGAGATGGCAAGAGAGAGTCACCCTTTGGCTGGCCTGATCCCTAACATTAAGTACCACTGGAAGTGGGGAGGCGGCAGCTAAGAGAAGGTTTGGGGGACGACGGGATCAGTATGATGCCCATTGGGACTGGTGCAGTGCCCAGAGACCCTCGCCTCACAGCCTGTGGGCAGAGGGGTCTTGGCCCCATGCTGTTCCTACATCCTTCTTTTCTGGAAGTCCTTCGAACACGCCCTGTGCCTCCTCCTCCCTGAGCCTTCTGACCGCTGCTCTGTCTCTTCTCCAGGCCCTATTTCCTATGCCGTTTCTCCAGACCCTATGACCCCTTTAGTCAAAGGAAGCCCCCGGGAAGAACGGGTCCTCTTCCTGGAGGTAGTGACATGAGGCAGATACCTCAACTCAAAAGTCCCTCATTTGCAGTCGACCATTCCTGCTGTCCGCTCTGGAGAGGGGTCACCGCCAGGGCAAGGAAGCCTCAAGCCCTCCTGAGCCTGCCTCACATGTAGCTTCCCTCCCTCCCCATCTCCCATTAGCTGGGCCTCGGGATGAGGGGTGCTGCCCAGGAGGCCAGTCAGGCATCTTGGAACGAAGGGAAGGAAAAGGTGAATGCATGTTCATGCAGCAGAAATAAGGGTGGACAGGAGGGAGGGACTTGGAAGTTACTGCAGTCCACTGCCCCATTCCTCTAAGGTTCTGTACCCCTGAGACCACCACCAGGGAGGTGCTGCAGCCACCAGTCAGCCATTCCCTGAGGAGTGGCACCAGGTCGCCTTGCACCCCTGGTTGCCATGGCAGCAGGCAGGATTACACACAGGACAGTAACCCAGGTTGAGAGAGATTTAAAGGGACAGCTCAACCTGAAAGCAGTCCTGGATCCTTGCCTTGATTCAAAGAAAGGAGGGAGTCTGGTGAAGGGGAAAGAAAGCAAGGCTGCAGGTCAGGGGCAAGATCTCTAAACTCTCAGCCTGTGTCATTGCCCACACATTTCCCAACTCACCCCAACCCTCAGGAAAAGGGCTCCTCGCCTTAACTCAAAATAGAGGTGGGGTCTCTCTGCAAGAAGAATACACTCAACACCATTCTGTTCCCTCCAAAATGCCAAGGACCATAAGGGGCTGCAGGAAAGGGTGGGAGAAGGACCTTGCTAGTTTCACCCTCTGCAGAACACAAGCAGGGATGTCCCAGGGAAGGAAGGCAGAAGGGGAAGGAAGCTTGACCTCTGAGGTGGGGCACAGCTGTCTCTCTGTCAGTTCCATGGGAAATATAATGACCACCAGATGATAAGGTGCAAAATCCAACATTAGATTTTTGAGGTCAGGGGCTAACAGAGACTGGAGTGGTGGCAGAGGGCTGGTTCTGAGAAGAGAAGCAGTTTGTACTTCTTGCCTTGGATATAAGAAGCCAGAAGCAGCCCATGGCACCACATCCAGGAGATCAGAGACCTCAGGAGTCCTTTGAGAAAGCAGGTCCCATACCCATACCCCTGAGTCCTACACTTTGTCCCCACCATGCCTCCATCAAGTGACCAGAAGCAGGGAAGCTGAGTTGTTGGGACTGCTCCTCCCTCTATTTCCCTGCTGGGCACTATTAATGGGTTTACTGGGCAGCCCCAGATTGAAAGGCCTTTAATCACAGGCTCAGGGATAAGTTTAATTAACCCCTAAGCTGCTTACAAGTAGGGCTCAGGCAGACTGAAGCAGGGAGAGAGCTCAGGGAGCCAGCAGGCTGGACAGGAGATAGAGGCGCTGAGCCCTCCAAGGCTGTAGAAACTGAGACATTCCTACAGTCCCTCCACTGCATGGAGAAGAAGCCTTTCCTAGGCGACAAGGGTATCACAGGGTAGGTTCTGGCTTGCTACCAAAACTACCTTCACACTGGAAGTTATTCTAAGCAAAGTGGGAACCCCAAAACATCTTGCAGAGTGAACAGAAGGACACAGGGCAAGGAAGGAGCTACACTGGAGGCATCCAAGCAGGGGGAGATTCAGATAACTCAGAGCAAAACCAGAGCTTGCAGGCAGTTGCTAGGCCCCTTAGACAGCCTCTAGCACAGGGAACACAATCTGGTGGGTCCCTGAATGCACTCAAGGGGATCCACAAGCCCCTGGAGTAAAATGCAAATTTGGGACATGAAAGAACATGTCTATGGAGAGGGCCCATTGCTGTCATCAGATTCTGAGAGATCTAGGACCAATAAAAGTTAAGATCTTGTCCTATCACCTCATCATAGGAAAAACAGGTCCCCAAAGAAAGGTGACTGACTCAAGGCACAAGATCAATGTCATAACAAACAATTCAGCAGCAGCAGCATAATTGTGAATGTTGCTCACAGGAACATGCTCTCCTCTGTTTCACATCAACTCTTTGCAAAAGAGGAAAATCAGGCTCCTTGAGGTTCAGCAGCTGGCTCCTGGCCTCTCCCAGTTTGAGCACCCCACTCCCTTGCCCTGAAACCTCCTACAGAACCATGTCCAGACATCCTGACCTGGTATTCTTGCCCCTTCATTTACAGTTTCCTATACCCCTATCTTCTCCACCTTCAGCACATGCTGGTCTAGAGGTCATGGCACCACTGTGCCACTACAGTCCCTTTATCCCCAAGCCATTTCTAAGCCTTAGTTCCTAGGCCACTTCTTGGGGGCACTTCTCTAACCAGCTTTGCCTCCTGCCATTGCCCTCTAGCAATAATATGCAGATTGTATCTGGAACATGCGCTCCTGGCCTCCCCACAGATGAGTTGTACGGTCTCCAGCCCTCCCTTGGGCAGGGGAAGGTTTTATTCCTCCTTTCTTCTATCCTATCACAGAGAGGAGATGACCAGAATGAATGGGTGAGTGTTTGGGGGAGTAGCTGTGGAAGTGTCTGACTGCTGTTACCACCCCCAAATCTTTGCCTGGCAACCTCTGAACCACTGAAATTAGCTGACAGCCTCACCCACTTCTTACCAGACTCAGAGTTGGTGGCAGCAACTGGCATGGTGAGATCAGCAAGGGCTCTGAAATGTTTCTCCTGGAGGGGGAGAGAGGAGGATGAGAAGGTACAGGGAGTAGGAAAGGGACCCCCTTCAGGAACAGCCCCAAAGTAGGGAGAGGACACTGCTCAGAGACTGGGAATTGGTTAACAACAGATATCCCAAGCATCCTGGGAGGCAAGAAGAGTGGATTACATGCCCATTTATGAGGAAGAGGAGACTGGGGAGGATCAGAGAAGTTAAATGATTTGCTCAGGGTCACAAAGCTAATAGAAAGCAACAATGAAAATCCGGGTTTTATGACTCTTAAAAAATAGTGTTTCTGGTGGTGCACATTGTGTAATCCCAGCAATTCAGGAGACTGAGATAGGAGGACCAAATATAAGACCAGCCTGTATAACTTGGCTAGACCCCCTCTCAAAAAAAAATTATTTTTAAAGGCTAGGGATGTAGCACCCTTGGGTTCAATAACACACTCACACACACACACACACACACACACAGAGAGAGCAAAAAATAGTGTTTCTGCCTACCATCTGTCTTTTTTTTTTTTAAGTGGGAGATATGTAGGTATAGTCCAGAATTTGAGTCAAAAGCAGGGCAGCAAGTGTTCCCAGACTGTATGCTCCATGAGAGTAAGAACCACATCCATTTTATTTGCCTCTAGTACCCAGGCCTAACATGATGTAGATGTTCCATAAACATTTGTATCTGGCTGACAGGAAGAATATCCTACTCCCCAAGGCCTGTTTGGCTTCCTTTCTCTCTCCTCTCGATTTCTTAGCCCAGAGCTGAGACACGGAGAACAGGGGCTCAGGGCAGAATTAGGCATGGACTCTGCAGCCCCAGTGCCCATCCCAGGGCCTCCCCAAGCTAGGTCAGCTCCCCTTCCTCCCTTTGCTTTCCTGGGTATGTGCTGCTGGATAAAACCCTAATTCCCCAGTTGCCATGACAACAGAAGGCAGTGGCTCACAGCAGGGGTGGGGGAGTGGGGGGAAGCAGCTGGCAGTGCCCACTTTAGGACTGAGTGCCTACTGGGGCCTGGGGGTTGGGGAGCCACAACTTTACCTCCTCCCTCCCCCCCCCAAAAAAAGATTCTTCTCAGAGGAACTAATACCTGATTTCAAAAACCCCTCTGTGCTCCATTCCTCTCCCAGGCCTGAGACAGTTACCTGCGCTCAGGTGGCAGAAATTGCATAGGTACAGAGAATGGATGGCTCCCCCTCCTCCTGAACCTGCTCTTGAGGACGTAGGAGAAGCTTTCAGGGAAAGGAAGGAAACCGTTTCTCAGGCTAGGAGAAAAGCTCAGGATCCACTGTGCCAGCAGTGCCTCTGGTACCAATGCCCACTGTCCCTATTCCTAGAGAGCAAGGGGAGGTCTCTCCTGGTTGGTACTTCTCTCCCTGATAGAGGTACATGCAGGATCAGAGGGGAGAATGAGGAGGTGGGAAGAGGCAGGAAGGATCCTGCATGGAATCTCTAGCCCAGGAGTCTGGCCCAGACTGCCTGGGTTTTCTCCCTGGGGAGTCGGTTCCCACGGCGTCAGCTCTCTCTGCCCCACCCCCACCCAAGCCCCGGAGAGGGCGGGGCCCGGCTGTGCCCACAGGAGAACGGCAGTGCCAGGCAAGACAGCCTGGGTCCGTGCCAAGATCCGCGGCCCAGACATCGGGGAACCCGCACCTCGGCTTCCAAAAACCTGGGCCCGGATGCCCTCTCACCCCTGCCTCTGAGCGATTCACATTCCCCCAGAGTGTCCGTAGGAGAGGCAGGCGGGCAGTGAAAGGGGGAGGTTTCCTTCAACCCCCCGCCCACCCTCCATCCATGCGCGTACAAAGAGGTGTGGAGGAGAAAGGACTAACAAAGGCGTTTTGGAGACCGAAAGGTCGTGGGCAGGGCTGGACAAAACTGAGGGCCAGTTGATGGGGTCGAGAGATCGGGCCGACGTGCCCACATTTACAATCAGAGCGCCCCTGCCCCATGAACCCAGTCCTAACCCGCTGGGCGCTAGGACCTGGGGAAAGGGGGGCGTGTTGCGAGCCATCAAAGAAGGCTCTTTGCTTGCGCGCCCGCTGGAGACCAGGGGATGAGGTCACTGAATGACTGCCCCCCCACCCCCGTCTTCATTCCCCGCCACCCCCCTAGATAGACCTAACTTTCTGACCCTGGATCCTCTCTTCTGGCACTAATTCTCTTGCAAGTCCCCAGGCCTTAACCCTAGCCGCCCCCCACACACCGAACCTCCCTCCCCTTTACAGCCTGGGAGGCGGGGAAAGCAGTGCGCCCCCTTCCCGGGACCCCCTCCCAGAGAGGGTTGAGATGTTGGTCTCCTGGGGGGGCGGGGTAGCAAGGGGACTCTCCACAACCTCAGTCTAGCTCCCCCACTGCCGGAAGCGTTTCCAGCGCGGTTCTTACGTAATGCGGGGATTCAAAGTCCCCCCAATCCGCACCGCCCCGGGAGAAGAATCGCGGATACCTGAGCTCCACGCAGCTCGCCACCTCTGTGCCAGATGTCTCTGCGGAGCCCCTACCGTAGGGACAAGGGCCAGCGTCATTGGACAGCGGGGTTTGGCTCTCCCTGCCGGCGTCCCAGAAAGGGCCTGGGGGCAGGGGCTGCAGAGGGAGGGCACTGGCCTGTGGGAAGGGGCCGGGGAGTTTGGACCCAGAAAATAGGGCCTCAAGTGCCGAGCCAGAACTAAAAGGAGACAGGGGTCCAAGGGTGGGTGCAGGCCCAGGGGCCTGGGGACACCTACCTGCGCCCCGGGGAGCCCCTAGCTCCGGGCGACTCCAGCGCAGCCGGGCGCTCAGCGTTTATTGCTTGTCAATCGCTAGCCGAGCTCTTAAAGCGGCAAGTCCTCCTCTGCGCGAGGGGGCGGAGACAAAAAAGGGAAGGAGAAGGGAGGGAGATTAGGATGCGGCGGGATGACTCCAAGGAAAGTAGTCTCCCAGCAGCTGGTGGGTGGGAGGGGACGTGATGGTTAGGAGCTACCGCTCAGACCTACGACTTTGGACCCACTCCCATTGTGCCTATACCCACTAGTGTCCCTTGGCTCCCGGGAACCCCTTAAAGGGGCGATGGTGAAAACAACCCAGTGGGACCGCTTAGATCCATTCCAGTTCCAGGTACGACTCACCTTTGCTTGTTATCCTGCTTCACAATTTGGAAAAGGAATGGGAGGAAGTTAAAAGCTGCTTCGGGCTCAGGAGCAGTTTTTAAGGATACTGGATCTCAGACTTTAAAGAAAGTTTGGAGAGAGAGAGAGAGAGAGAGAGAGAGAGAGAGAACACACGCCTTAAGAGTCCGGCCGCGGTGGCATTCGCCAGTAAACATTTCCAGGTGCTCCGAGACAGGAGGCTCGCAAGTTGAGGCTAGCGAGACCCTGTCTAAAATAAATAAATAGGCTTGAGATGTAGTATTCAGTGGTAGAGTGTCACTGGGTTCAATCCCCAGTACCGGTGATGAGCATAGGAAATGTCTTCGTGAAGGGGTTCAAGACCCCATTTTAGTCCTGGATGGGCCAGTTGGTCCAAGCTTCTGTCCACGAAATAAAGGAAGAGGTAACCCGCTGTCTTTCCTGAGTCCCATCTCAAAGACTAAAGAGAGACTGCAAGTGGCACACTCCTGTAGTCCCAGCGACTGTAAGGCTGAGGCAGGAGAATTGCAAGTTCAAGAACAACCTCAGCCTAGCCAACTTAGTGAGACCTTGTCTCAAAATTAAAAAAAAAAAAGAGGGTGGAGCCACTGGGAATGTTGCTTAATGATAGACTGCTTGCCTGGTATACATGAGGCCCTGGGTTTGATTCCCAGCATCAAAAACAGAGTGTAGCTCTGTGATAGAGCACACATTGCTTAGCATGGGTGAGATGGGGATTTCAACTTTTCAGCATCAAACAGAAAAGAAAAAGTTAAACCCATTAGCTGGCCTTCACCATTACCATAGCTCAGCCTCTGGCTCTACTCAGATCTGTTAGTAAAAGATAATGTACAGCCTCAGAATACCAGAGGTGAAGTCCAGTCCTAGGACCAACCTTCTTCAGTGTCCCTGCATTTGGGGCCAGATGCAGTACTTCTCCAGCCTTTGTCTCTTTTTCACTCCCTCCAACGGCCCTTTGCAATATGTGGTGGGTTATCCCTCCACACTTGCTAAGTGGATGTCTAAAATCAGAAATGGATTACATTCTGGAAATCTCAGAGGTGGATTAAATTTGAAAATCCATCCTGAAAACAGGGAACTGATCATGTGTATCCAGGAAACTCAGATGACCCTTCAGCCCCCAGGATAAAGGTTTAGGTGTGGGTATATAGGGAAAGACCACAGAAAGCCACTTCCTCATTTACTGGGGAAGGAGAAGAAAGCAACCCCAGATGGCAGTAACTGGAATTGCCAGCTTCTGTCAGCCCAAAGAGGCTTTCTGGACAATGTTGCTACTCTTGAGCCAGAAAATCCTCCTGATTGGATTCAGGAAAAGAGGTCTTTTCCCATTACAAATACAACATTACACTCTTGCCTGTCCACCCATAGTTGGGAATCACTTAGCTATTTACATTTGGTTGGGAGGGAAAAATCTTGAATCCCTCCAAAATAATTACTTCTCAATTAGGCAACTATTACCCCCACAGCAATCCACTGCAAACCTCCTGTCCATTCAGGATCCCCAGGAAGGGCTAGATTCCAGATTCTAGTCTACCTGGGGAGGTGGAACCCTACTCATTATCTATACAGGTTGCCTTCCCCGCTTAGTGCACAAGTATCTCTTATTATAATAAAGGCCCCGCAAAACACCAACCTCTCCTGTCTGTTCAAACCTTAAAATTGATCAATTGTTTGATTCTCATAACAGCCTGGTGAGGTTGCAGAGTGGGCAGAAACATTTCTTGATGCAGAATAGGATGTTCCTGTTTGTCACAAACAAGATGCCAGTTTCTGTGGTATTGAGATAGATCAGGGGCCTGACCTCCTCGGGGTGGAGGTAGGAGAGAAGGGTCTCATCTGGATGCAAAAGAAACCTCTGGAGGTATAGTTAAATGTTCTAACAGAGGTGTCCAAAGGTTCAGTTCTAAGCAGTGGGGGTGCTACTGATGAGAAATGGAATAGCTGGGAAGGGAAGCAGGTTTGAGGGGTCTACAATATAACCCAGGGTATTAGGGGTTTCCCACCCTAGGGAAGAGTTTATCCTCCCCCTCTATTAGCTCTGTCTTCTTCTCTTCCCCAACTTCAGAGGTCATAGCGTGCAGGCAGTGTCTCTGATTCCCCTGAAATTAAGATTTTTTCCGGGCTGGGGATGTGGCTCAAGCGGTAGCGCGCTCACCTGGCATGCGTGCGGCCCGGGTTCCATCCTCAGCACCACATACAAACAAAGATGTTGTGTCCACTGAAAACTAAAAAATAAATAACCTCAGCACCACATACAAACAAAGATGTTGTGTCCACCGAAAACTAAAAAATAAATATTAAAATTCTCTCTCTCTCTTTAAAAAAAAAAGATTTTTTCCTCTGGTGAGTGTTCAGCCCAGAGCTTTGGGAATCCAGGCACAGAGAGAAATAAAATTCAAGGGGGATTGTGAATTTCTAACAAAGCTGGCCTTGCGTGGAGTGATGTTGCACTTCCATCAAGGACCAGAAGGGGCCGCCAATGGCTACCCTAGTTTGTCTACACCCACCTCAGGGTTTCCTTGCACCTACCCCTACAACTTGCTGGAGTCTTGTTCTGGAAACCTTTTCTATTGGTTATACAACTAAGTTTTAAAAAAAAAATGGAAGGGAGGTGTTGGGGCTATAGCTCAGTGGCAGAGCGCATAAAAATAAATAAATAAATTAAGGTATGCTGTCCATATACAACTACAGAAAAACTTACAAGAATTTTTTTGAATCCCTCAGTGCCAAGATAGATAAGATACTATATACACACTATATAAATATAAATATTTGCTTAAAATCATTGTATCCAAGCTATTGAACTATTATGTATGTAGAAACTATTCCCAGACACACAAAAACTTTAAAAGATTACTTTTATACTGTAAGTAGAAATTGCAATATTTTCTTCCCATACCCTGAAGAATTATCTTGCATATTCCCAGGTGCACCCCACATTGGAAATGACTGTCCTAAAGGAAACACTGTGTCCCCCTCCCCAAACCTAGTCTCCACACAGCATCCATGCAGGTAGCTTTGCCTCCTCTCCAGGAGAACCAACCAGAGGCCTCCGTGGAAGACCAAGTATGCAAGACAGAGCCTAAAGCCTCCTCCATCACCACCCACATCTGGTACCCTGCACTCACATCAGATTGCCTATCAGAGGGCAAAGACCCCAAACTTCACTCTACAGCAGCCTCCTGCCCTCCTTGCCCTGCCCTACCCCCTGGCCCAGGACTTGCTGCACTTCACCCTGCCTCCTAGGTTTACCCTCCCTGCCACCTTTCAGGGCAGGAAGTTGAAATCCAGGCTCAAACTGTGTGTATCTTAGACTAGTTACATAACTTTGCTGAGCCTCAGTTTCCTCATCTGCACAATGAGGATAACAGCTTCCACCTTGGGGAAAGACAGATGCAGTGTACCCGCCAGATGCAGCACCAGACACACAGAAGTTGCTCCATAAATGCAGTTCCTTTCTGGGAGTAAGTCTGGGCAGCCTCAAGCTAGGTGCCAGCTGGGTAGTAGGCGGATAATCCCTGTCTCTGATCATCTATGTGCTCTGACTGATCTCAGGTCCTCTTGGGGAAGGGGGAGTCCACCCCAGGGCTTGTGGAGCCCCAGGTATCTGATACAGATAGCATGTCGTTTTCCTGCTGCCCACATACCCTTTACTGGCACTCCGCCCAGCCCCATCTATGGCACCAGCTTCTCTTATCCTCTTCTCCCTCCAGTGCTTCCACAGAGGTATGTAGGGCTTTGATGTGGGCACTCTGGGGGAGGGGAGGAAATAGCTACTCAACCACCAAAGTGGGGAAGAGCTTATAAGTGTCAGCACAGACCCTGGCACTACAGGGGAGTCCTGTTACCCACCCCAATAACCCAATGTTCACTGCTAGAAACGCCCCAACAAATGCATCTTTGCCTTGGAGTGCCCTGTAGACCCTGAACAGGCAGGGGTGCAGGGTGAGGAGGCGGAGGGAGCCTCTGGACAGCAGGAGCAGGGAGGGGACTGAAGCAGCAAACCAACCTAGGTTAGACACCTCCGGACCGTGGAGGTACTGGAGTTGCTATTTAGAGACAAAAAAAAAAAAAAAGACAAAGGCATGTTACCACTTGAACTGGTGACTAGAGAAAGGCTTCACACACACACACACACACACATACACCCCAAGTGCTGCTTTTCTCCCTGATTGCCCTGGCAGCACTTCCAGAGTGGGTCATAGCTGAGACTGAGGGAGAAGGCCAGGGGCCAAGGAGGTCCTGGGCGACCTTGGGTTTGCCACTTGCACCTGACCTGGGCTCTTCCTGCTGTCATGTGGGCAGGATGATATCTGCCTCAAAGGCTCTGGGAAGACTGCATGGGATGGTCACCTGAAAGAGTTTTGTGAGCCATGAGTCATGCCCTAGCTGTATCCCTTCCCAGGAAAGCAGGGAGGCCCCAGTCCCAGAGCGGGTTCTCTGTCCCTGGCCTGCCTCACCACATGACATCTCTTTGCCCCAGCTCTGCTTGGCACCAACTGCTTCGTGCTAGCCTCCCCCCACCAAGCTCTTCTGTCACTCCCTACATTGGAGGTTAACCACCTGGGCCAACCCTGCACAACACTCCTCTCCAATGGGCCTGGGGGCAGAATGGGGGCCTCTTGTGCCACCTGCCATGCTACAGGGACTCTGAGGCCCCCGGCACCTTCTCTTCCAGCTGTCTGCCCTGAAGTGCTGGTGTGGGGAACAAGCGGGGTCTAGGAGGAAATGAGCCAGAGCATTTGGGGAGGAGGCAGGACAGAGGAGTGTTGGCCATCACCTGAAGGAGACCAGCAATGTGCAGGAGGACTGCGCAGCAGGACTCAGCCAAAGAAACCAGAGTACAGAGACATCAAGTCATTTGTCCAGAGGCATCATGCAGGTAGGTAGAGCTGGGGTTTGACCCCAGGTGGCCTGCCTCGGGCTCCACTGTAGATGCTGGGCCTCAGCATCTTTACAGGTTGGGTTCTTTGCTTCATTTTTTTTTTTTTGGGGGGGGGAGGGTACCAAGGATTGAACTCAGGGGCACTCAATGACTG